GTGTGTGTGTGTGTGTGTGTGTGTGTGTGTGTGTGTGTGTGTGTGTGTGTGTGTGTGTGTGTGTGTGTGTGTGTCTGCAGGCAGTTGACTGCAGTGCTCAGGTCGCTGCACAGCTGGCACTGCATGTGTCTGCAGAGGACAGCTGTCCGGCTGCGGCTCAATGGGACTGTGTGTCAGGTGGACCAGCTGTCCGTCACACACTACACACACACACACACACACACACACACACACACACACACACACACACACACACACACACACACACACACACACACACACACACACACACACTGCCAGGCAGGCCTTCTAAGGCCATAGTGACAGCTGTGCAGGGAGGCCAGAGAGCAGAGATGGAGGATTAAGACAATGCGTCCAGACTGCTCTCCTCCACAAAACAGTTTCAGAGAGGGCAACAGGCGAGGGGGAGGAGGGGGGGAGAGGGATTCCTTGTGTAAATGAGAGTGAGGACATGGGTCCAAATGTAATTTAATAACTCGCCCATGGACAGGCTGAGCGGTCAGGAGAGATGGGGCTCAGTCTTCTAACATCACTGTCAGGTTTCTTAAAGTCACTAAACGTGCACTTCTGTAACGGCTTTGCTTTTATTCTTCTCACTTTACTTAATTGATCAAACAGCTCGGTTTTGTTTTGAGAGGTGCTTTATCGACATCAACTCCTGTTTAGATGCAAGATAGGACCTGGTTTGCAACGACATTGAGCAGCTAGTATTTGACTTTGTCGCCTCTCAAGCAGCTCTTCCTGGATCGTTAGTCCCTACATTCAGACTTAGCAGAATATGAACATTTATGTAACTTAAACCTGAACTTAACTGTTGGATTGGGGGAGCTTATTACAAATGGGAAGGAGCAAGTTCTTGTAAGTGCTTCAGGAATTGGTACCACCTTCTTTGTGAGGAAATGTCAAATATATCATTTTTAAAGATTTGAGAAAATGCGATTTTCTTTTCTAGATTTTGCCAAATAATTCATAACCATGAAGGATGATTGTTCTATCTAGTGTTTTGACACTGTTGTTCAGATTGATCAGGAACAAATGTTAGTAAATATAACGTAAAAAAGGAAAAGCAAAGTGTGACAAACCACTCTGTCTTTTTAGCATATGGTCCTAAAATACACAATGACCCTGTAGTGAAACCTTTGCAGGACCCTTGCGTGTACACACTGCACCATGTAAATACAAATGCACTTTTTCATGTCATTTGAAAAGTAAACTCACGAAAGAGATGCCGGCGGCCAGCAGTAAGATTCTGACCAACAGGTCCTCGAACTGTTCCGCCACCAACTCCCAGACAGTCTTTCCTGTGAAAGGATAAACATCAAATCCCATACAGAATGTGTGTGTGGTCATTGTGTTTATTTCTCGCTGAATATGGAAAAATATCTATATATTAACATGATAAATGGTTAAAAATGTCATGCGACGTCAATAAAACCTTAATAAGCGAAGGATACATATTTGGTGAGAAATGATTAATTATGCTTCAGTTTATGTAACCTAAATTCTAACTCCAAAATGATTTCCATGTTTCCATGCACTACTGATCTTTGGGCAAAGTCAATAAAGATGCCTGCGAACTGTTAAAGTAAACTATCGGACAGGCATGACAAATACAAATGTTTTGTTTTGGATTTAAATGTAGGAATTGTAGAAACCATTCAAGATCTTCAACTCAGTTTCAGCGGTCTTGGATTTAGTGATATTTTGTGTTGTGTGCGTTTGAGTATACAAGTAGTGTCCCAATCACTCCAATCTCCAAGGGGACCAAGAAGCTAACGTCAGGTGTTGGATGAACGACTATGACTTGTCAACACAGGAAGTGATCAGCGTGACATGTGACTCAAACGTGAAATAATGAAAAGCAGGTATTTGAGGATTAAAGTGGACTCACCCTCCTCTGCTGGCAGCTCTGTGGGCGAAGAGAGACAGACGATATTAATAAAGCATAACTGCACGCCACATTCAATGCATTGTTTTTAATGTGTGTGCCACAAATGCGAATTAGCGCCAAAACTTTTAGGATTTAAAACAAACTGAACTTGACATGATATAAACTATAATCTACTCCCACATTTTAATAAACTATTCCTAAGTGATGAACAAATGCTAAGTAACAGCTGCTTTGTTCAGGCCTCCTTGTGCCTCTGCCAGTTGGCACTAAAATAGTGACTTAACTAAGTGACCTTTACAGTGACCTCAATTATTTTTGTTTTTCTAGTTTGCAGCTCCTCTGTCAACATCAATTTTCAGCTGAGGTGCTTCACAACAAACACAGAGTCACTGCAAACTGTTGAGCATGATTAGATTCAACGATAAGACAGTGAAAACATCAAAGCTAACCTCAGTATGCATGCTTACAAACATCTCAGTGTCTTTGTTGGTGTTACCAATAGTCTTTTTAACAGCAGACATAAAGACACAGGTGTAATTAATTAGCTTTAACGATGGCTTTGTTCCATTTACTGCAGGTGTTCCAGTTACAGTAGCAGAGATGGTTAATTATATGAATTACACCTGTCGCTAGACCGAGTTTAAAGTCACTTTTCTCAAATGCCAGGATGTAGAATAAGGAGCATCTACATCAAGGTCATTCTAAAGCCTTTTAAAGGGCGCTCAGTTGCATTTCATGGCCTTCCTTGGAGAGTTTGCCCAACTCCATCCCGCTAACAGAGGCTTCTGTTCAACACGCAGTTGCAGTTGACCTTGAGTTATTCCCAAAGTCAAGAACGAGGTGTCATGCTTTAATTCACTAACACATCAAGGATTTTCAATAACAGCTAAAGCCGGTAGCTGGAAACTTGAAACTCTAATGCACCTGCTGCACAAACATCACCCCCCCCTCCCCTTTGTTTCCCGTTATTAGACCATTATCATCACACAGTGCCAGATCATCTATCAGTCATCCCACTTCTCTTTCCTCTCCCCTCCAGCGTCTCCTTGAGCCATTTCACAGAATACTTCTAAACCTTTTCCACTCTCACTTCCAAGCTATGATACATGTGTTCCTCCATCCTCGGTTCCTCTTATCATTTCACTCATACTCCTTCTATTAACCCTCTATTGCTCCATCCATCCATCGTCCTCTCTTTCCCTCACCGTTGAAGCCATATCTTTCCTGGTTCTTCTTGGCCTGATCAGTTGAAAGGCCGATTTCTTCAGTGACGCCAAAGTAGGACAGAACGTCCGGCGACTCTTTCATGTGTGCGTCCTCCATCCTCGCTGAAATGGAGAGGCTTCAAGGAACGAAAAGGGATAGAAAACACAGAAACATTCACATCAAGTCTGAGTGGCCCTGATACTGAAAAGTTTAAAAACAAAGGAAAGCTCAAAAGTTCACCCACCACTTTCTTGAAGTGTGGGATTGGGATTAAAAACTGGCAACCCCCCTGCTTTCACACTGGCTCTCTCTCTCTACCCCCTCTCTCTCTCTCTCTCTCTCTCTCTCTCTCTCTCTCTCTGGGCTGGTGCTTTCCTCTCGGAGCCCTGGACTGTCAGAAAGTGCAACCCGGCAAACTGTCCGGAAAAGTTTTATACAGAAGAAAAAGTTGCCTCATTGGTGCTTGCTCACCATGCAGTCACTCCTCATTGGCTGAGAACGACACAAATAGGTGGGCAGGGATGGCCCTGTGGTAAAGAATAGGCAGGGGGGGCGTAAGAGCGGGGTGGGGGGATAACAACTGCAGAGGGGTTTACCGCCCGGCAAGCTGGAAATAAGATGTACATTAGAGAGCATGCACGGTCAGGGGCAACACTTTCTGAATGAGAGATAGGGGACACAGATGAGCCCACTACAGAGAGCTATGTTGTGTATGTGTGCGCACGTTTGTGGACACTTATCTATTCAAGTAAATAAAGGAAATGCCAAAAATGTCAAGAAATTAAAGGTTTTGACACCTTAATTCTGCTTTTTCCGACTTTTCCGTTTGTAGAAAGTACTTTTTTAGGCTGCTACGTCTTTTACACATTTAAAATGTATTAAAAAACAACATGTGATATAAGCTATAAAGACACAATGCATTATGATTTTCCTATTTCCCGTTAATCATCTCACAATCCCTCAGATTTAAGCCATTTGGAGGCCCCGAGATTAGAAACCACTGCATAGTAAAATACTACTTAAGTGCTAATAATATAAAGAATGATTTGAAAAGTATATATTTATGATAATAATGATGTACTTTCACTTATCTTGAATGCAGCACTTGTAATGGAAGTTTTTTTTACATTGCTGAGCTGCTTCAGGGTATGTAAAGGGTCTGCATTCTTCTTCCAAACTATTTATATCATGCCTTTACATATACCAGTGGGAGAGCCATTATAATGACATTAGAATAAAGCAGTGCTAATAAAGATGCCCTAATGCCCTCAGAATTACACAACCACACATAGAGATGAAAAGAAAGTCAGGGTATAGAGAGAAGAAGGAAAGAGGAGCGCAGTGTTGTTGTAGGATCTATGCGAGTTCAGCTCACTTAAGCCCCATCTATTGCTGTGGAAAGTATGTGAACTCTGCAGTTTGGGAGAGACAAGTAGTTGATGATGTTAGTAAAAAAAAAAAACTTTTACTATCTGTCATCGCACGTCAGGTGTCAGAACATCTGAAATGCTTTGGTGTGCATACTGAAGCTATATTTTATGACCAAACTTGACTTTGTTTTTAATTATACCATCAAGTTTTTAATCAATATGGCAAAACTTACACCTTAAGCAGCTACATAGCAACATTCTCATTTATTTGGAGAAGTTTGTTACAGTCCAACATCCACTTTCTTTTAGCTCTGACCTGCATCAATTAGAGAGGGAGATATCTAGCTCTTTAGCTGCTAAATGCTACACTGTGTTCACCAGCTAGCAGCTAACTGTCTGCTGCTAAGAGCTAAACAGGTAGTGAACAGTGGATTGTTAGTGCTTTTTTACTCAAACAGCTGCTCGTGTGGTTGTTAACAAGCTTTGATTTGTGTGAATGTGTGTGATTGTTAGCTTCATTGAGCAAATTGCTTTGTATGACTGGGGTGTGAATTGGTGATTGATGAGGAGTCGTAAAGACTGGATAAAGGGCTATATAAATGCAGTCCGTTTACTAGTCACTGGGCGATATGAGGGGGGGGGGAAATCACAATTTTTCTTTACCAAGACCTTCGATACTGTTGGGTTGACTATGGTACTTTGAAAAAATAATGACACAATGACCAATTACTAATCATAAGTAATGTGGATATATTGGCTAAGTGGGTAAAGGCAGATATTAAAACAGCGCAAGTCATTCAATTACAGTACATCACTTTCCTGTAATGCACTTACAATGCGATAGCACGATATCCAAAATCTAAGACAGCAGGTAGTCTCATGTCCTGACATCGATATATTATCATTATATTACCATTCCTGGTATGGGATAATGCTGAATGTG